AAAAGCAGCTGGGTGTGTGGTGCACACTTGTAGTCCCAGCTACTCAGAAAGCTGAGGAAGGAAGATCGCCTGAGCCCAGGAGTTCAAGGCTGCAGTTAGCTATGATCGCGCCACTGCACTCCTGCCTGGGCCACCAAGGGAGCCCCTGTCTCTAAATAGAAAATAAAACAAAAGAAACCACCTCCCAAACCAAAAATCTTGCCATGGCTCCCATCTCAATGAAAAAAGTAAAACCCAGTGTTTTTGCAGTGGCCTCCTGGGTGGTCCCTGAAAATATGCGATGAACTTTCATCTTAGGGCCTCTGCATTTGCCTTTTTCTCTGCCTGGAACCCCCAGATATCTGTGTGGTTCACTTTCTTCAGGTCTTGCTCAAGTGTCACCTTCCCGATGTGTCCTGCTGTGCTAGTTATTAAGTTATAGGAATTGGCCACTGTTTTCACCCTGCTCAGCTGTTTCTGGATTCACGGCCCCATCACCTAACACATCATATACTTAGCTTGTTTATGATTCTACTTATCGCCTGCCTCTTCCCCCCATAAACTGTAACTAAAGATTTTGTTTCTTTGGGACCAGGAGATTTCATTCACTGATGTATCCTACGTGTCTAAAGCAGTGCCTGATACATGAGCACTCAACGGCACACCTGCGGAACGAATACATTCGCAAAATCATGCCAGTGACTCGTTATCCTTTAAAGTCCCGAATCAGGTAAAAGAGCCACCCGTCTCCAGCTCAATTTCTCCGGATAAGTCCCCAACCTCAAGTCATTACTTCCAAAACTGCGCACTCCCCTCCCCCAAGATCTTTATTTGTAAAATCGCTCCCGCTTGACATTCACTTCGACAGGGTGAATTACGTGGGAAAGATCCCGACCCGTTAAGTGATAACGTTGTCCCCTCTCCCGAACTCGTGATCCGTCAAAGGCCCCAAGCCCGTTCTCAAATTCATCACGAGAAAAGTAGGCCACCTTATCCCTAAAATCTTTCTCATCCCCTTCCACCGGTAATCGCCCAAATTTACACCCTCAACCTCACTCCCACCGCCCAAGCCTAGGCCGGCCTCACATGCTGGCGGCTGCGCTCTCAGGTCACTCGCGTCTTCTCCGCGTTGCTTCAGCCTCTGAGGAGAGAGGCGGGACTTCCTCTTCCTGCGGCCCACTTCCGCCCACGCCTGCGCAAACCCAAACAGCGAGCGGGGGCGTGGCCAGTTGCCATAGCGATCCCCGCCAGCCGTGCCTAAGGATGGGATAAAAGCCTGGAGCAGTGTGGTTCGAGGCCATTCGGGACCCTATGAGGCAGGTGCTCACGACAATGAATAGAAAGAAAGGGGGTCTGATTCAAATTATTTTGCTGTGGAACGGTAGAGGTTAAAGGAAGAAAACGACACTTCATTTCCAAATGCCCGCCGACCCGGAGTTCGGGGGCGCGGCCTCCGCTAAGCCAATCCACTCCTCGCTTCAGGGATGGGCACCGCCCCCTTTCCCTCTGGGGCGGTTTATTGACGTGTCTATTGATCGTTCCGACCCCCTTACCTTAACAACCAATCCCTTACCTACGTCCGGGAGAGGCGTGGACCTGCGCCCGGGTGATCGAATATTTTCCACGACCAGACGCTGCTCATTGGCTTTCCCTCCTCCGCTAAGGCGGAGCCTGCCCCTTCCGCGCTCCCTTTGGGTTGTGCAATACTCAGGGGGAACCAACCCCAACACCCCAGGGAGGCGGGGAGGCTGGGGCTCAGGACCACAGTGCCCATTGGCTTCGCCGCTCGCTGGGGGGGGTGGGATGGTGCAGCCGCGGTGGCTGCTCATTGGTCGGTTGATTCCCGAGGGTGGAACTTGGCTGGGCCTAAACTCAGTCTGCGGTCCGGGACCGGTTTCAGGGCAAAGCTGCCATGCGTTCCGGGGGCCGCGGGCGGCCCCGGCTGCGGCTCGGGGAGCGTGGCCTCTCGGAGCCACCCTCGCAGCCGAAGCGCCGCCTGCTCCCGCGGGTGCAGCCCTTGCCCCTGCTGCTGCTGGCGCTGGCCCTGGGCTCGGCGTTCTACACCATTTGGAGCGGCTGGCACCGCGGGATTGAGGAGCCGCCGCAGGGCCGGGAGCTGCGGGTGAGGCCGGGCGGGGACCCGGGGACCGCGGGGCGTCCTCATTCCCTGCCTCCTCTTCCCAAGTCTAGGGTTAGCGTGGCTTTATCGTATGGCCCTGGCCGCAGGTGCCACCGTCCCCGTCATTTGAGAGCGCGCCCCTTGGAATAAGGCTTCGGGCTTGTTCTGTAAGTCGCGCCCCCTTAGGAGCAAGGGTCTGGAGCAGGAAGGATGGGAGTGGAGGGTTCTAAGCCTTAAGTCAACTATGTGGAAGGGTCCCTTCCTCTCTCTCTCCTTTCTCTCCCTGGGCCTTGATGTCGCCATCAAGGTTGTGGTAGGCTGGACTGGATGGGCTCGGAGGGACTTTTCAAGAATCTAAGATTTATCCTTCAAGTCTCGGATGTTGGAGGCCGCAGATTACGAAGAGGAACCGAGGAGACTTGGGTGCAGCGGCGCCCGGAGTAGGGTTGGAATGGCGGGGCGGGGGTTGCTCTCATTCTTCTCTTCCCCATCCCACCTCCCTCCCAAGGCCCCGTTGATCGGAAGCCTCTCCGAAGCCCAGCTGCGGAGGGTGGTGGGACAACTGGACCCGCAGCGTCTCTGGGGCACTTATCTGCGCCCCCTGCTGGTTGTGCGAACCCCTGGAAGCCCGGGCAATCTCCAAGTCAGAAAGGTAAAGGGCCCCACCTCCGATGCCCGACTCCCCGGTCCGCCAGGGAATGGGAAACAGCCATCCTGTTCAAGCTCCCAAAGCAGCTGAAGCAGAACTGGGCCTCTGACTGGAGTTCATCTGACTCTAGAGTCCCATGCTAGTAACAAACCACCAGGATGTACTGCCCGTCTTCCTGCTCCCACCAAAAACTTACTATGTGCTAGGTGCAAGCAACAAACAGCCCTTTGAGGTGGGTACCAATATGATTTTCATGGTGTGGATGGGGAAACTTAGGCCCAGAGAGGTTACACACGTATGCCCAAATCCTAAGCTAATAAAGGGTAGACCTGTGCCAAGCAGGTTGGCTTCAGAGCTGGGGCTGTAATATCTCTATATTGCCTCCCAGAGTCAGTTAAATATTGTCTGAGTTCCAATCCTACCTCATCCATTTGGATTGCAGCCTTAGACTAGTTGCTTTTCTTTTCTTTTTTCTTTTTTCTTTTTTTGAGTCAGGGTCTCATTCTCTTGCCCAGGCTGGGGCGCAGTGGCATGATCAAGGCTCGGAGTAGCCTGACTTTCTGGGCTCAGGCAATTCTGCCTCAGTCTCCAGAGTAGCTGAGACAGGTGTGCACCACCACTCCTGGCTAATATTTTGATTTTTTTTGTAGAGACGAAGTCTCGCTATGTTGCCCAGGCTAGTCTTGAACTCCTGGGCTCAAGCGATCCTCTTGCCTCAGCCTCCCTAAGTGCTAGTACTACAAGTGTGAGTCATCGTGCTGGGCCTTGGACTAGTTTCTTAACCTCTCTGGTCCTCAGTTTCCTCATGTGCAAAATGGAGTCATTCATTGGCAGTCTCCACCCTGTAGGGTTCCTGGAACAGAGCTTGGCACATAGTGAGAGCTATTTAAGAGTAGGCTGTGAGCCGGGCTCAGTGGCTCAGCCTGTAATCCTGCGCCTTTGGGAGGCTGAGGTGAGTGGATTGCCTGAGCCTGCGGGTTCGAGACCCGCCTGGGCAGCGAGACCTCATCTCTACAATAAATCAAAAAATCAGCCGGGCATGGTAGCACATGCCTGTAATTCTGGCTACTTGGAAGACTGAGGTGGAGATCCTCAGAGCCCAGCAGGTCGAGGCTGCGGTGGCCGGTAGCGGCCACTGCCCTCCAGTCTGGGCAACAGAGTGAAACTCCAACTCAAAAAAAAAAAAAAGAAAGGCTGGGACTTCTGTCTTAATTGACACTCTTGTCCTCCCACTTGCTCATGCTAATGAGGCAAGATGTCATATTGTAAGATGTTCATATGGCAAGGATATGAGGGAGGCTCCCAGCCAATAGCTTGTGACAACTGCCTGAGTGGACCAGGAAATCAGACACTTTGAAACTTGAGAAGACTGCATCTTGTAAAAGATCCAGAACTGGAGAACTCAGCTAAGCTGCGGGAATGTTCTTGATTTAAACCTTTGAGTTTGGGGGCAATTTATTATACAAAAAAATAACTAAGGCCAGGCTTGGTGGCTCAGCCTGTAATCCTGCGCCTTTGGGAGGCTGAGGTGAGTGGATTGCCTGAGCCTGCGGGTTCGAGACCTGCCTGGACAGCGAGACCTCATCTCTACAATAAATCAAAAAATTGGCCGGGTGTGGTAGTGCGCGCCTGTAGTTCCAGCTACTTGGAAGGCTGAAGCGGAAGGATCGCCGGAGCCCAGCAAGTCAAGGCTGCGGTAGCCCGGAGCGGCCACTGCACTCCAGTCTGGGCGACAGAGTGAGACTCCAACTCAAAACAAAAACAAAAACAAAACAAAGAGTAGGCTATGACTAGTCTTGTTGGCATCCCAACATCTGGCATTGGCACTCAGTAGGTGCTCAGCGGAAGTGTGTCAAGGGAATTATTTATATATATATAAATATATATATATAAGTTTATATATATATAAATATATATATATAAGTTTATAAATATATATAAATATATATATATATGTTTATATATATATAAATATATATATAAGTTTATATATATATAATATATATATGTTTATATATATAAATATATATATATAAATATATATATATAAGTTTATATATATAAATATATATATATAAGTTTATATATATATATATATATAAGTTTTTATATATATATAAGTTTATATATATAAAAATATATATATAAAAGTTTATATATATATATATATATATATATTTTTTTTTTTTTTTTTTTTTTTCCCGAATTGGAGTCTCACTATCATCAAAGCTAGAGTGCAGTGGCACACTCATGACCACCACAGCCTCGACCTGCTGGGCTTAGGCGATCCTTTCACCTCAGCCTTCCAAGCAACTGGAACCACAGGCGCGCACTACCACATCTGGCTACTTTTAAAATTTTTATTGTAGAGATGAGGTCTTGCCAAGCTGCCCGGGCTAGTCTCGAACCCCTGGGCTCAGGTAATCCTCTCACCTCTGCCTTCCCAAGTGCTGGGATTACAGAAGTGAGTCACTGTGCCTGGCTAAGGGAATTATTTAAACCTGAGTGAGACTTGCTAGTCAACCCTACTGCTCTGCATGGCTCAGGTCACATGGCCCTTCTCCCTGCCTCCTCCCCAGTCCCTGTCCACCGTCCCACCTCTCTCTTGCCACTAGTTCTTGGAAGCCTCTCTGCGGGCCCTGACAGCAGGTTGGCACGTGGAGCTGGATCCCTTTACGGCCTCGACACCCCTGGGACCTTTGGACTTTGGCAATGTGGTGGCTACGCTGGACCCAGGGGCTGCCCATCACCTCACCCTCGCCTGCCATTATGACTCCAAGCTCTTCCCACCTGGGTCGTCCCCTTTTGTGGGGGCCACTGATTCAGCTGTGCCTTGTGCCCTGCTACTGGAGCTGGCCCAGGCCCTCGACCTGGAGCTGGGCAGGGCCAAGGAGAAGGTGAGGAGTGGGAAGGGGAGGGGTGGCGGGCTACCTCCACATTTTCCCAAGCCACCATCCTCCCTTGCCTGGGCACTGTCATCCTAACCGTCTTCCCATCTCTACTCCATGCACACAGCCACAGGGATCATTCTGCTTCCTGAATGTCAGATCCTGTCATTCCTTTGCCCAATCCCTCCCATGGCTCCCGCCCATCCCACGCAGAAGCTAGAGTCCTTATATTGGCCTGTGAGGTATGTCCTGTTACCCTTCTAGTCTCATCTCCTGCCCACTTCAGGACATTTGTGCTCACTGTTTGCTCTGCCTAGAATGTGCTTTTCTCAGATATCTTCTTGGCTGGCTCCCACCCTTCATTCAGGTATCCACTCCAATGTCACCTCTTCAAAGAGTTCTTCCCAACCAGCCTAGAATAGCTCCTTGTCATTGTCCCATGCTTTATGGTATTTTCTGTTGATTTGTTTGCCTGTCTCCCCAGCTGTAATAAGTTCCACAAAGGCAGGGACTTTTATTTCCTGTTGTGTCCCCTGGACCCAGAATATTGGCTGGCATAAAATGGGATGTCAATAAAAATTTGTGAAATAAATGCATGTTCCTATCTTGCTGAAACCTCCTCCATGACTCCCCAGTGCCCCTATAGCAAAGCCCAAACTCCTTAGCCCTTGGAACCCCTCTGGTCTCCTCTCTAACCTTTTTGGCCCCTTCCCTGGCCCAGCCTTGAGCCCTTGGCCAGGAACACCTTTCCTTCTTTATTTCTGCCGGCCAACTCCCTTATACCCTCAGTGCAAGCATCAGACCCAGTGCCCTCCCTAGGCCAGACCAGCCCCTACCCTCTTCCTTTGCTGTCTCAGGACTCTAACATTCTTGGAAGCATTTGTCCCAACTGCATTCCACCGTGTAATTATCCCTTTGTGGTTCTGTCTCTTTTGCCAAACTGAACTTGAGGAAGAATAACCAGAGCTAAAACTCTTATTCAGCTATCTTATACCAGGCACTAAGACCTGGGTTCAAATCCTTCCTTAGGAACAGAATATACTAGTCCTATTTATAGATGAGGAAACTGATGCTTCAAGAAGTCAGTGGTGTCCCTGTGTCTTCTCGGCTGGAAGCAGCCGAGTGCGGATTTGATCTCAGATACTCTGGCTCAGAGTCCATGCTCTTGGCCGCCACATGCTATGCATGAGGACACCAAGTCTGTCCAATTCAGCTGTGCAGGTGGGCAGGAAATGTGGTGTGTTGAGGCCGAGGGCTGGCCTTGAGCTGGCCACCCGCTGCTCCCACAGGGCGCCCCAGTGACTCTGCAGCTGCTTTTCTTGGACGGCGAGGAGGCACTGAAGGAGTGGGGACCCAAGGACTCCCTTTATGGCTCCCGGCACCTGGCTCAGCTCATGGAGTCTGCACCCCACAGTCCCGGCCCCACCAGGATCCAGGCTATTGTGAGTCCAGAGTTCCCCCCAGCTCTGACAAGGCAGGGAGAAGGTGAAGCAGGGCTGGCAGGATCCCGCTTGGTCCTCTCCAGCCCTGGCCTCTCTCCCCAGGAGCTCTTTGTGCTTCTTGATCTCCTGGGAGCCCCCAACCCGACCTTCTACAGCCACTTCCCCCGCACGGTTCGCTGGTTCCATCGGCTGAGGAGCATCGGTAAGGGTACAGTGGAGGCAGGCACCAGCCTGGGATGGAGGGAGGGCCGGGGTGGCATGGGTGCCTGGACTCCCAGGGCACATCCAGTCTTCCCTCCACCTCCCTAGTCTCTCTAGGGAACTAGGGCAGAAACACACCAATCCCACCACAGTTAGGTGTAGCAGTTACAAAACAGGGATGCTGAGATGAGACAGCCCTGGTTTCAAATATTGGCTGAGCCTCTTACTAATCGTGTGACCTTGGACCTTGGTTTCCTATCTGTAAAATGGGCATGATGGCCAAGCACGCTGGTTCACGCTGAGGCAGGAGGATTGCTTGAGCCCAGGAGTTTGAGAACAGCCTGAGCAACATAGTGAGAACTCATCTCCACACACACACACACAAAAGAAAAAGAAACAATTATATGGGCGCGGTGGCACCCACCTGTGGTTCCAGCTATTCAGGAGGATTAGACAGAAGGATTGCCTGAACCCAGGAAGTCCAGGCTGCAGTAAGCCATGATGGTGCCACTGCACTCCAGCCTGGGCAACAGACTGAGACCTCAACTCAGAAAAAATGAGGCAGGCCAGGTGCAGTGGCTCACACCTACAATCCCAGCACTTTGGGAGGCCAAGGTGAGGAGATTACCTGAGCTCACGGGTTCGAGACCAGCCTGGGCAACTTGGTGAGACTTCATCTCTACAATAAATCAAAAAATTAGCCGGGCATGGTGGCGCATGCCTGTAGTTCCAGCTACTTGGAAGGCTGAGGCTGAAAGATCACCTGAGCCCAGCAGGTTGAGGCTGCGGCGGCTGTGAGAGTGCCACTGCACTCCAGCCTGGGTGACAGGGTGAGAATTCCAACTCAAAAAAAAAAATGGGACATGATGGTAATAACAGGGATGTGTCCCTCCTAGGCTCAGATGGATTGAGTGAGATCAGGAACATAGTAAGCCCACAGTAAAGCATAACTGGCATGCATTCTCATTGGGATGGCCCCTGCCCTCTTCTGATTTATAAGCAGGGGTCCACTGACTGCTGAAGACTAACCCTTGCTCTCTAATCTCTACCATCTCCAGAGAGGCGTCTGCACCGCTTGAACCTGCTGCAATCTCATCCCCAGGAAGTAATGTACTTCCAACCTGGGGAGCCCCCTGGCTCTGTGGAAGATGACCATATCCCTTTCCTCCGCAGAGGTACTTGCTGTGGGGAGGGATGGAGGGATGGAGGGATGGATGGGATGAATGGATGGAGGGATGGAGGCTGGGCTTCCAAGAAAGCCACACATTGGACCTGGCCCTGGCTTCTTCCTGGGGCTGGGGACAGGTGGCAAGTCGCCGAACTTCTTGGTGCCTTGATTTCTTCATCTGTAAAATGGGGATAGTAGCCCCTATCTTCAAGTGTTGTTGAGGGACTTGAATGCACAAATACCTGTATGGACCTTGCCTGCACCAGTGCCCAGCTTATAGCAAGCTTTCAAGAAATGGTAGCTAATATTATCTGTGCCACAATGACTGCAGAGTTTCTTCTAGCTCTTACCTTTCAAGGTCTTGGCAGCCTGGCAGGATCACCTGACGAGCTTCAAAAAATGTCCAATCACATTTCAGTCTGACTCAACCCAACCTTGGGTTTTGCAGATTTCTTTTACAAAGTTCCCACATGATATGATGCACTGCCAGGGTTGAAAACAGCTGGTAGAAGGGTTAAGAATGTAGGTTATAGCCGGGCTCGGTGACTCAGCCTGTAATCCCGCAACTTTGGGAGGCTGAGGTGAGTGGATTACCTGAGCCCGTGGGTTCAAGACCCGCCTGGACAGCGAGACCTCATCTCCACAATAAATCAAAAAATCAGCTGGGCGTGGTAGCACATGCCTGTAATTCCGGCTACTCGGAAGGCTGAGGCGGAAGGATCGCCGGAGCCCTGCAGGCGAGGCTGCGGTGGCCGGGAGCGGCCACTGCACTCCAGTCTGGGCGACCGAGTGAGACTCCAACTCAAAAAAAAAAAAAAGAATGTAGGTTATATGCCAGGTGCTATGGCTCACACCTGTAATTCCAGCACTTTGAGAGGCCAAGGCAGGAGGATTGCTTGACCTCAGGAGTTTGAGACCAGCCTGGGCAACATGGTGAGACCTCAGTTCTACAAAAAGTTATTAGCCGAGCATGGTGGTGCATGCCATTAGTCCCAGCTACTTGGGAGGCTGAGGTGGGAGGATTGCTTGACTCCAGAAGTTTGAAAATGCGGTGAGATGTGATTGTGCCCCTCCAGCCTGGGAGACAAAGTGAGACCCTCAAAAAAAAAAAAAAAGTAGGTTATAGAATGAGGCAGGTCCAGGTTCTAGGATCTGCAGTTTACCACTGGTTGATCTATGGCAAATGACTTAGCCTCTCTGAGCCCCTGTTTCTTTTGGAAAATGAAAATATATATGTATAGTTATATATAAATAAACTTTATAATCACAGGGTTTGATTAGATGAGATCAGGTATTAAAATGCCTGCTTACACAGTACTTGGCATATAGAAATGCTAAGAACTACTTTTAAATTTTTTTAAACTGCTTTTAAAATTTTCACTTATCATTTAGTAATTCAACAAATATTCATTCCTTACAATGCCTTCTTTGATTCATTCAACAAATACTTCCCAAGGAAGGTACTGAGCTAGGTGTCAGGGACGGAGTGATGGGCCACAGTCCATCTGGCTCCCTGTCTAGGCAGTGGACAGATATTTAGCAAATCTGGAGAAACATTGAGGGAAGTGTTCTGAGGACAGGAACCTGTCATGCAGGAGTTAAGAGCACAGATTCTGGAGCCTAGTGGCCCAGGTTCAAATTTTGACGTGCTGTTTACTAGAGGCACAACCTTGATTAAATACTCTGCCTGACTCAGTTTCCATATCTGTAAAATGGAGGTAAGAATATTAAGTATTGGCCAGGTACAATGGCTCACACCTATAATCCCAGCTCTTTGGGAGGCCAAAGTGACAGGATTGCCTGAGTCCAGGGGTTCGAGACCAGCCTGGGCAACCTGGTAAGATCTCGTCTCTACAGTAAATAAAAAAATTGGCCGGGCTCGGTGGCTCAACCTGTAATCCTAGCACTTTGGGAAGCTGAGGCGAGCAGATTGCCTGAGCCCGCGGGTTCGAGACCAGCCTGGGCAGCTTGGTGAGGCCTCATCTCTGTAATAAATAAAAAATTAGCCGGGCGTGGTAGCGTGCACCTATAGTTCCAGTTACTTGGAAGGCTGAGATGAAAGGATCGCCAGAGTCCAGCAGGTTGACGCTGGGGTGGCCGTGAGCATGCCATTGCACCCCAGCCTGAGCGACACAGTGAGATTCCAACTAAAAAAAAAAAAAAAAAAGCCGGGTGTGGGGGCATGCATCTGTAGTTCCAGCTACTCAGAAGGCTGAGGTGGAAGGAGTACCTGAGTCTGGCAGGCCAAGGATGCAGTGGCCGTGAGTGTGCCACTGAACTCCAGCCTGGGCAACAGAGTGAGACTCTGACTCAAAAAAAAAAAAAAAAAAAAAGAAAATTAAGTACCTTCCTTAAAGGATTTATTGTAGGGAAAAAATGGTGTGTGTAGGAGCTGGGGAGGGGAGTGGTGGCTGGTCTTCTACCAGGGCATAGAATACACCAAGTCAGCCGGGCTCTGTGGCTCAGCCTGTATTCCTGCGCTTTGGGAGGCTGAGGTGAGTGGATTGCCTGAGCCTATGGGTTCGAGACCCGCCTGGGCACTTGGTGAGATCTCATCTTTATAATAAATCAAAAATTAGCCAGGCGTGGTAGCTGTAGTTCCGGCTCCTTGGAAGGCTGAGGCAGAAGGATCACCGGAGCCCAGCAGGGCGAGGCTGCGGTGGCTGGGAACGGCCACTGCACTCCAGTCTGGGCGACGGAGTGAGACTCCAACTAAAAATAAATAAATAAATAAAATTAAAAATAAAAATTAAAAAAACCTAACATGTACACTCAGACACTTAAAATCAGTGTTCAGAGTTTTTTGTTGTTGTTGTTGTTGTTTTGAGTTGGAATCTCACTCTTGTCACCCAGACTGGAGTGCAGTAGCACGCTCATAGCCACCACAGCCTCGACCTGCTGGGCTCAGATGATCCTTCTGCCTCAGCCTTCCAAGTAGCTGGAATTACAGATGCACGCCACCATACCCAACTAGTTTTTGTGATTTATTGTAGAAACGAGGTCTCACCAAGTTGACCAGGCTGGTCTCCAACGCCCGGGCTCAGGCAATCCTCTCACCTTGGCCTCCCGAAGTGCTGGGATTATAGGCTGAGCCACCACGCCCGACCCAGAGTTCTTAAAGTGGTGCCAGAACAGAGACTCCTCCCTCAGTGTGTGAGGATGAGGCAAAGTTATCTGGGTCCCGGCTCCTGGTCAGCAGTGGGCCAAGTGGGCCTGAGAGTCTCCTCTCTCACCTTCAGGGGTCCCTGTGCTCCACCTCATCTCCACGCCCTTTCCTGCCATCTGGCACACGCCTGCAGACACCGAGACCAATCTCCACCCACCTACGATTCACAACCTGAGCCGCATCCTTGCTGTGTTCCTGGCCGAATACCTGGAGCTTTAGCCTGCAGCGCCGATGCCCAAGGTGGGACCTTTGAGGGAGAAGCACCCAGCAGAGCACCTGCCAGGGGCAGCTGGAGCCAGTGGAGCTCAGGCTGGGCCCCCCCTTGAATGTGCTGGCTCCTACTTGTGCTGCGACTGGCAGACCCTCTTTCCTTTGATTATCTCAAGCTGCCACCCTTCGCAGACAGGGAAGAGACCACTGTGGGGCGAAAGCCAAAGTAGAAAGAGTTAGTTCCTGCCCTGAGGTAAACACTTGGGCTGAAGGTTTGCAGGGGTCAAGTGCTGTTCTTTCAGTCAGCAAACCATGAATTGACATCGGGATCAGCAACGCCACCCGACCACCAAATGAATTCGCTGTGGCTTGTGTTTTTGTGTCAGTTCTCCAGAATGGCAGTTTTGTACCAGTCTGAACCTAACACCCACATGGGGCCCACAGAGGATGTGCTTTTAAATGGGAACAGAAGAGCTGGAAGCCCGATATTTAGGAACTCCAGATTCTGCCTGGCCCGACGGGCAATAAACCAGTGTTTCTGGGAAACATATTCTGCATCAGCCGGAGATGCTGACTTATGCCTGTAGTCTCAACTACTCAGGAGGCTGAGGTGGGAGGATCGCTTGAGCCTAGGAGTTCAAGACCCAAATGGGCAACATGTAAAACCCTGTCTCAAATACAAATATTCTGCAGAACTAGTGTAAATAGGTGTTACATGAAAAGGGAGATCAGAAATCAAAGAAGAGGGGTAAGACAACATTATATGAGTTTCCTTACTGCACAATATGACTTTTCAAGAGAAAGACAGAGAATGCAATGGTTCTCAAAGTATTTCACTGTGGAACTCCTTTATTGAGGAGTATTTCACAGAACTAGGGAACCTCAGAAGATACTTTGGGAAACACTAAGTCTTGAAAGTTTGAGAGCATTTATGGTAGGAATGGGTAAGACAGTATTACAGTCACTGCAGAGCAGTTGTTATGCCATGCCATGTTTCCCCTTCAGCTGTGGGCACAGCAATGTGAGATGGTGGGTTTAACTGCTACTCCAGTGAGGAAGTATTTCCCAATTTTTTCTCATTTTCAGTCTCAGCTAGGGTGCTTATTTAAAAATGCAGACTAGCCGGGCTCGGTGGCTCAGCCTGTAATCCCACACTTTGGGAGGCTGAGGTGAGTAGACTGCCTGAGCCCGCAGGTTTGAGACCTGCCTCGGCAACTTGGCAAGACCTCATCTCTACAATAAATAAAAAAAAACATTAGCCTGGCTCGGTGGCTTAGCCTGTAATCCCGCGTCTTTGGGAGGCTAAGGTGAGTGGATTGCCTGAGCCCGTGGGTTCGAGACCCGCCTGGGCAACTTGGCAAGACCTCATCTCCACAATAAATCAAAAATTAGCTGGGCATGGTAGCGCGCACCTGTAGTTCTAGCTACTTGGAAGGCTGAGGCGGAAGGATCACCGGAGCCCAGCGGGTCAAGGCTGCGGTGGCCGGGAGCAGCCACTGCACTACAGTCTGGGTGACAGAGTGAGACTCCATCTCAAAAAACAAACAAACAAACAAAACAGAAAAACATTAGCCAGGTATGGTAGCGCGTGCCTGTAGTTCCAGCTACTTGAAAAGCTGAGGCGGAAGGATTGCCGGAGCCCAGCAGGTTGAGGCCGCTCCTGGCCACTGCACTTCAGTCTGGGTGACAGAGTGAGACTCCAACTCAAAAACAAACAAACCAAAAATAATGCAGACTCTCAGGTCCCACCCCAGACTTACTCAGCCAGAACTCTGGGGAGGGACTGGGACTCTGTTAACAAACACCTGAGGGGTCTCATGATCAGCGAGTTTGGGATCTGCTGACTTCAAGGATACACGTTGATGTATACACAGCTGTTTAGCAAATCTACTCAAAAGATAACCCCAAGAGTCACTCTGAGGCTGATTCGGAAGCTTGCCTGATTCACTAGTTGTTAAGTATATACAATATTGTATATAAAAAAAAAAATTAAAAAAAAGACTGGCTGAGCATGCTAAACGCACATTTGCAATCCCAGCACTTGGGGAGGCCAAGGCAGGAGGATGGCTTGAGCTCAGGAATTCGAGATCAGCCTGGGCAACACAGAGAGCTCTCGTCTCTGGGAAAAATTAGATGGATGTGGTGGTGGCACCTGTAGTCCCAGCTACTCAGTAGGCTGAGACAGGAGGCTCACCTGAGCTCAGGTCAAGGCTGTGGTGAGCTATGATAGTGCCACTGCACTCCAGTCTGGGCAACAGTGAGACCTTGACTCAAAAAAAAAAGAATAACCTTAAGATAGAGTCTAGAAGCAGAGTCTTGTGCTGCTGGGCTCTGTACCTGCTAGCTTTGTGACTGATGGAGATTTGGTGGGCAGCAGGGATGCCAGGCCTTGCAGGAGGGTTATTCAATAGTGAAAGGGGCCAGGCGCAGTGGCTCATGCCTATAATCCCAGCACTTGGGGAGGCAAAGGTGAGAGGACTGCCCGAGCCCGCAAGTTCGAGACCAGCTGGGGCAACCACATGGGCTCTACAATAAATCAAGTATTAGCTGGGTATGGTGTTACACACCTTAGTTCTTGGAAGGCAGAGGTGTAAGTACTGCCTGAGCCCAGCAGGTCGAGGCTTTGGTGGCTCTGCACAGCATGCCACTGCACTCCAGCCTGGGTGACAGAGTCTCTGATGCAAAAACAAAAAAATGGTGAAGGGGGCATTGGGCTTCTAAGTCAATCCAGGCTGCACAAGACCCAAGAGAATGCTAAGGCTGAAACCCAGGGTCTCAAATGAGCGAGAATACACAGAAGTTCCTTAATTCAGGTTCTTCCATAGTTGCTGGCATTTATTAGGGTCCTACTGTGTACCAGGCACCGTGAGAACTTTATTTATATCCACCTATTTTGTCTCCCCCCCAAATCCTGAGGTGGGTACAATTTCGGTTCTCATTTTGCAGGTGGGGTGGTTGACACTGAGAATTATGACCGTTATTTGCAGATTTGTACTCACAGCTGTGATCCCAACCCCCATGTCCGTCCAAAAAGCACACGTGCTAGATGAACAATTTGTTGAAAGTCGCCCTGAGGCTTTGAATTGGCTTTATGCACACTTGTGGCTTGAACCTGGGGTAAAGATTGTTAGCCCTATTTATTTATTTTTTTCTCTGAGTTGGAGTCTCACTCAGTCGCCCAGACTGGAGTGCAGTGGCCACTCCTGGCCACTGCAGCCTCGACCTGCTGGGCTCCGGCGATCCTTCTGCCTCAGCCTTCCGAGTAGCCGGAATTACAGGCATGCGCTACCACG